AGTTTATTGTGACCAACATAATTTTTAGAGCCTATTAGAAAATTTGATTAAAAATTCATTCAGTCTAAATCAATTAGAATTAAGTGTGATTAGTTAAACTTAAACCTTAATTAATCTCCTAATCTAATCCAAATGCATATGTATGGCATAATTAGAAGTTTGGAATTCCTTAATCATATTTGATCTCAAAATCTGAGAGGAGAGCTTTAGAGAGAGAGAGAGACTCAAGTTCTAGAGAGAGAGAGGAGGCTAGAAGACTTGGAATTTGACAAGGAAATTGGAGAATTGGGTAGAACAACTCAAGGTCTTGCTAGAATAAGTGTTCTTGAAGATTATAGGTAAGTGTTTATACCTTAATTCATGAGTTTAAACCATCAAATATGTGAATTCAAGAGGATTATGTGATTGAATACAAGAATTGAGTTAAGATTGTTGAATTTAGAGGCAATTCATACAGGCATGCATGCATAGTTTTGTTGAGTTTCACCATTTTTGGAGCATGATTATCTCATCCATGTGGAATTTGAAAGATGAATTGTACATGCATGCATGAATTACAAGGTTTTGAAAGTGAATTGCATGTTTTTGAAGCTTTGGAATATAATTTGAAATTAAAATCAACATGCATGAAGATTTGGGTTTCATTTTGAAGAATTCTTGAAGTCTTGAGCTTTGATTTTTGTAAATTGGCTTTGTATTCATGTTCTTGGAAGATTTCTAAGTGTTTCAAATTTTGTCAAGCCATCCAAGAAATTGATTTGTAAATACAAGTTTTGAAGGTCAACTCTGTTCTGGAATTTCTAGAATTCTGTCTCACCGCTCGAGCGAACAATCTATCGCTCGAGCGCACATTTCATGCATCCAACATTTTTTCAAACGTTTGCAGACGTTTGTAGTTTGCTTGAGCGACCGAGTCACTGTTCGAGCGGCCATCTTTTATTTTGCACCTCGGCTCGAGCGAACATCAAGCCTAGATTCAAACTGTCCAGTGCTTTTGCAGACCAAGTGATCCGCTCGATCGACCAAAGTTGTGCTTGAACGAAGTGCTCTTTTTCAGCAAATTTTGAAAGGACATACTATGATCACATAAGCATCTTTATTCCCTTCTGGACATTCTTAGGCATAAATTGAACATCTTTAATGAATTCAAGGATTAGAATGAAGCCTAGAGAATTGAATAAGTTAAAGAACAATCTGGTTAAGCATTGTAATTCAACGTGTGTACATTTATGAATTGTGTAGGATCATTCGCGATGAACAATCAACAACCAAATCACTGTAAGTAATATCTTAGTAAAGATATTTTCTTACTTACTCCATTTTCCGAATGTCCTAATATGGTAAGCTTTTTCGAAACTGTGATTTTGCAAGTGTGAATGAGTTTCTATATGTCTGAACTACATGATATCTATAAATGTGATTGATGTGACACAGATGTGTAAGATGGACCCAATGTCATTCTGTATATCTAAAATGGACCCAAGGTTGTTCTGTACATTTGACAAAATGGACCCAAGGTCATTCTGAACATCTAATAAGTCTGATATCTATTATGAGTTGACCGAATGGTCATTATACAGTTATAAATGATTGGACCTGAGGTCATTCTGTTATGATATGATCAATTTCGTTCTATACATCTGTTATACGTTGGACCTGAGGTCGTTCCATTACAAATTGCTTATGATATAGAAATTATTATGTCATTTATTATAGCTCATTCATATAACCCCTTTACTTTGATATTATCCGCTGGGCTTTCGTTCACTCTGTTATATATATGTATGTAAGTGAGCAGCGGGATGTCCAGCTCCAGCCTTAGTGAACCTATGAAGGGTACCAAGTTTTTGTGAAGTCTATCTTGAGCGCCTCACGAGGGAGGCTTTTCTTTCTGTTGTCTTTGAATTTTTGTCTTCTTTTATTGGTCATGTTTGACCTTGTATATATATAAGTTTTGGTTTTGTATGACAATGATGTATGTAAGATCTGGGATATATGAAATCTTATTATATAAATATATGTATGATTGTGAGTTATTAATATATATCAAGTTTTGTTAACATCATTTATGCACAGCTCATTGGACAAATTTTATTATTCAGCTTCTGCTTCTGGCTCCATATGATTAAATATGATTAGATTTCTGTTTGAGGTAGTAGGTAATCTCATGATTACTAGCCGGTTATAATCCAAACCTTTAGGGGAGGGTTCGGGTCATGACGACAACCCAACTCAACACAACATTAAACAAAGCAATCACACGATCCACTGAGTTCCTTTTAGCAACCATAGCATTAATTCAATCCCATAACACTTAATACAATCATTACCCAACGTTATCCATTTTGATTTTATTAACCTTAATAACAAAATTTGGGCTTTTCGTCACAATCAACCTAACCATAACTAACCGCTTTCCAATTTACCAAAACAACCAAAAACATACAAATTCAACTTCCAAAACTCAAACCCTAAACCCCATTTCATGCTTTTGGAAAATCCCTTAACAAACATGTTTTTAAATGCAATAAAAACTACCACATGTCTATCTATAACGATATATTAAAAAGAAGCAAAGGAATTTCTACCTCAAGCCAAATGAGAAGAAAGCCCGAAAATTTAACTTCGACAAAAATATGATCCGCTCATATCAAAAGGAAGCACTCATCATGCTCTACATTTTGATATATGTGACTAGGATGAGATTCTGACTCTCAAGAGATGAAATCCAAGGTATAAGAACTTAAAGCTCAAAAATGGAGGAAAGAGAGAGATGAGAGGGTGAAAAATGAAGAGATTTGACCTAAAAAGTGACTTTTATAGATCTGATCCCAAACAGACTGCTTAAGCGGTCAAATCTGTGCTCGAGCGGTGAATGAAATCTCTTAGTATCTATATTGACTCGAACAGATTGCTCGAGCAATCAAAAGTGCACTCAAGCGGTGAATCAAGGCTTATAGTAACTCAGACAATTTTGAAAAACAGAGCTAGAAGGATCTATAGACCAATCGAGCGATGAAACTTGTGCTCGAGCAAACTATGCCCACAGTACAGATTCGTGAAATTTAAACAAGCATAACTCTCTCGTCTAAAGTCCATTTAGGGTCATTCTTGTGTCCAAATTAAAGCCCCAGAAGTAGAATTTCCGATGGTTCTATTCTTACATCAAGATGCAAAGTGGGGAGAGATAAAATGATAAAAGAGTGAAGACTACTCAATGACAATTATTCGAATTTAGAGTTTTTGATCTAATCTCGCGCAACCAATATGGTAACAGCTTAACCAAGGCTCGAATATTGGCTAAGAAGGTTTTCAATTTTGATAATCAAATAGACAAATATAATTCCATTATACCAAGAAGTACAGAGTGCTACAATACTGGACTTCATTGTATCCTAGAGGTAGATTTGCGAGTAACTCGTTGTGCACCATATTTGAAAGAATTGGTGGGGGAAAATATCATCTTAAGGAAGGTGACATTGCACGCGCCTTGAAGAAATATTATTGTTCTCTAATTTTATCCTCTTCCATCACATTTACCAATTTTGTACTAGCAATCTTAAGACGATATTTTCAAGATATGGAAGATTCAATTCCAATTTGGTAATTTCTTTTAAGGTATTAAATCGTTGGCAATAAAATAATTCAGGTATGATAACTATCTTTTAGAGTTATTTGAATGCAAGTCTTCATATTAGTTGGTAAAAATTGCACTTTGTTTTGGGTCTGCCAAGAAGAATTGGATGGTTTTGTCACACATAAATATATGCATATTTACGGGTACGCATTTTTATATGAGTGGATTTATATTGTCTTTCTTGCATACGTGATAGCATTCATGATTACCTAAAATGTTTGGGTTACAATATACATATATATAGATTTCATTGCTTCTCAAATTTTCAGATCTTAAATGTTTTTATGATATTAGCATTAGCACTAATATCATTAGTTGCATGAAAGGAAGTTTTGATTCTAATTTTTAAATTTGGACTATTGAAATCAAATCTATGTAAAGGAAATTATCTTTTTTTTGGAATTAGACAAGATGTTTGAATGAATTTTCACTATAATAAAATCGAGTGTTTTCGGTTTCACATCAATAACATATAATAAATACAAATCGTGATTTTTTACTTTTATGATTTTTTTTTTTTACATGTTGAAAATAATTTTCCAATCATGACATGTCTATTGTGTAAATTGTGAATGCTAATAACGATAATTTTTTTACAACTTACAGTGTTAGTCATAAATAATAAAACTTTCTATAATGTGCATATGACATACCATTAATACATCAGCTATACATAACATGCGTACATCAATTGTTAAAAATATTAAACATTTCACGATGCACAAAAAGTCAACTATTAAAAATTACACTTTTCACGACACTCATATCATGACCAAAAAAAAAAAAACAAAAAAAGAAGCTCAAAAACGAAGCGCCAATGACCAAAAAGATATTCACCTTACTTGTTTTCACTTTTCAAAAAATTATACTTTCTTATTTTTCGTATTTTTTTTATTTTTACTGAATTTTTTTAATATTTTAAACAATTTTTTTACTTTTTAGACACACCTAACATAAATACACTTAAAAAGTAAAAAAATTGTAAAAAAAATCTTTTAAAAATTCACTAAATACCAAAAATATAAAAAAATACAAGAATTCAATATATTTTTTATATTTTTATATATTTATTAATTTTTTAAAATATTTTTTTACAAATTTTTTACTTTTTAGATACATTCAAATAAGATACATTTAAAAAAGCAAAAAAAATATTTAAAATTTAAAAAATATTCACTAAAAACAAAAAAATACGAAAACATAAAAAAGTCAATTTTCAAAAAATTTCATATAAGTCAATAAATTAAAAAATACATTTTTTTAAAACATCCTAAACCAACCCTTTAACTCAAAAAAACTCAAATCAAACACACTTGCTAGAATTTTTTTTTTTATCAAAATATATACAAACTGTGGCTTCTAATTGGGTTCTAAAAGGAAGTTAGAAAGCTGTGAATCAAATAACCTGGAAGAGAGAGGTTTCCGAGGGGAGACTGGTTCAGCGGCGCGAGATTTCGTAAGGGAACAATCTACGACGGCAGCAATCGGTGGCGAGATTGGTTTGCGACACAACGCTTGACGGTTTGAGATTGATTTGACGACTCGGCAGTTCGGCGGCGAGACTGATTCCTCTCTTCTCTTTGATCTGTAAAAAATCGAAGGTATGTTCTGATTCCCCCTCCTCCTCCTCCTCCTCTATCTCTCTCTCTCTCTCTCTCTCTCTCTCTCTCTCACACACACACACACACACACACACACACACACACACATTCACTCCATTTAAGATTAGGACTGACCTACCCAAAAAAAGATTAGAACTGTTATGTGGGCTAAATATCACTATTCGAGTTGTGCGCATTCGGTTCATGATTTGGTGTTGGTTTCGGCTTGGTGGTTTAGTGTTAAGGGGTTAAGCTTTGCTGTGTAGCTAAGGTTTTGGGTTGTTATCAGTGTCTGTTGTTTTTTGTTGTGTTGTTCGTTGGAATCTCTCCAACTTGGGCCTGATTATAGCTGTGTTCTTCTTGGAATTTTTATCTCAAGAATTTTTTTTTATAAAAAATTAGCAAAACTTGGGTGATTAAAAATTCTGTTCTTTTTTTTTTTTAAAAAAAAACTGAAATTAGCATAAATTCAATTTCCTAGAAGAAGAGCCACTTTGCTGTAATTGATTTTGAGATAACCTCGCTGTTTGCTAAAGTTAATTACATCTCAGTTTCTACGATTCTCCTCTCCAAATCCCTGAAATATTTCCATCATCAATAGCACATAATCATCTCAAAACTCCATTTTCTTTGAATGTGCTTGGTGTAGAGCTCATCTCTGAGAGCTGTAAAAAGGTATGAGCATCAAAATGTTTTGGGTAATGATACATCCCACTAAAAGTGGTGCTCTAAAGCACCACTAATGAGTTGGCAAGCACTTTAACCAAAACAAAAAAAAAAAACACCGTCCACTGCCACATCACTAGTGGTACCACTTTTAGTGGTCTCAAGCATTATTGAAATGTTTTATGTTGACCAAAAATAATCCATTCAACTTTGAAAGACAGTGTCAAAGTGTAGTGCTTCTTGAGTAACTATCTGATTCATATTAGAAAAAAATAAGTTTGAGAAGGTTTTGATTAAATAAAATCTGGTTAGATTTACTGAACTTGAACATGCAGGAGTTTCTCCAGGGGTGTAATCAACCATCTACTTATAACAATTCTAATGTGGAGAAAGTCCCCTTTATGAATCTTGCCTGTCTATACATGAACTTATGAACTATTGTGCTTTGCAGTGTGGCAAGTTGGCAGCTAGCAGGTTGACAAATTTTCTTAAAAAAGATTCTTTCTTAAATAATATGCTGCTAATCTTTGAACTACAATTCTTAATTTCTTTCTCCAAAGAAATCAAAAGAGTGGCTTTATGAACAAATCTTTGGTCTGTTCAAATGATAGTGTTTGGTGCATATGTTTGTCAATATATTTGAGACATGAACCTCTTGGAACTGTGTGCATAAAAACTTCTAATATGATTGAGTTTTTCCATGCTGCTTTCTATTTTTTCAAACTTGTTTCTTAGATTGTTTTCCTTATGTGCTACTCTGTCATGTTAGACATTACATAATCATTGTTCTTACTACTGATGTGAACACAAGATGAGTAAAGCAAATTTTCTTTAAAAAGATTATTTCTTAAACGATATGCTACTAATCTTTGAAGTACAATTCTTAATTTCTTTCTCTAAAGAAATCAAAAGAGTGGCTTTATGAACAAATCTTTGGCCTGTTCAAATGACAGTGTTCGGTGCATATGTTTTGTCAATATATTTGAGAGATGAACCTCTTGGAACTGTGTGCATAAAAACTTCTAATGTGTTTGTCATATGTTCCATGTTGCTTTATTGAAGGATACTTCTTTTACATTTTTTTTTGGAATCTCAACCACAAAGAATATCTATAAATCTATGTTGTTTTGAGGTTGTTTTCTGCGTATGTCACAAATGTCTAAACTTTTTTTTATTATTTTCTTTCTCTTTTTCTCCAATTAGATAGAAGTAAACCCATACCTTTGAAAACAAAGAGAAATATGGGCCTTAGTGGTATCATCTTGGAAAGCAGATATATTTTTTTTTTCTTCTAGTAGTGGCATCTTGAAATGGGCCATTTCAAGAGTTTTAATAGATATTACTTTCAGAAAACACTCTGTCAAAAGCATTTTTTTAATATCATTTTCCGTTTAATACATATTAGCAATTTTGTAGATTGATGTGCTTATTACCTGTTTGGTGTTATGTCAAAAAATGTCTATAAATTTTTTCTCCCCTTTTCCCTCTCCCCTCCTACTTTTTATAAACACGATACTGCTATGAAAAAAGCAGAGTTACAATTAGTGTGGTTGATGGTGCCCATTATGTGTTTGATGTTTTGTTTGATTGAAAAAGTTCATTGTTCTTCATGTAAGTTGGTTGCCGATCATTTATTGATACTAAGCCAATTGTTACTACTTATGTGCTGATTTTTATTCTCTTTGTTTCTTGTCTTGAATATGTTTATTTGCTAACTTAGTTGTTGATTTTTATTTATTAACAACAATTGCTTTGAGGCTGGAAGAAGAGGACTCCTCTTTCTTAGGATGCCTAGCTAGTGCGGCTTCTTTTGAGTGCTCATTCTGTTAGTTGTCCTGGTATGTGCTCTGTAAAAGCACACAAATAGAAGCAGTGTACCACTTTAGGTACGTTTGAATCAACAATCTGAAGTGAAATTTGTGGAGGGAAAAAAAAAAAAAAAAAACCCATAAATGAAAAAGTGGATGAAATAAATAGTTTTTTATTTCCTTTTTTGGTCACAAATCTCTTTAATTCTCAATGCATGATTTTTAGCTCTTTATCTAAGGATAATAGTTCCACTAAAATTGTAGTCTCCACCAATTGTTTTTTATATTTCTAACTTCTTGTTTTGTGTAACTAACAGAAGTTTATTTGCGAATCTCATATAAATTTGTCCTCAAAGTGAGTTTTAGCACCATATAAATTTGTCATAAATCTATTTTATATTTGTGTTCTAATCTTGTACTTTGTAGATTGTCAAGCTGGTTTTTTAGTAGGGATGAAGGTTGAGTTTGGTGAGGTTCTACATATAGGTTCTGCTGTTTGTGTAATGAGGAATGTGAGCCATATTCCTTTTCTCTAACTGTTTGTTCTTCATATTGTAAAGCTGGCACTCTTGCTAGGGAAATCTTTGTTATGGGTTGAGTGTGAATTCGCTCATATATTGTTTGGAGTGTTGAGTGCTGTTGAGGGTTGAGTGATTAAGGACTATATGTGTGAGTTGTGTAGCCTTGTCTGTCTCAAATTTGTTGGTGCTATGGTCCTGTTTGTGATCTCTAGTTGGCTGAGTAATTGTATTTGTTTGCACCTATTTTGTTCAACCCCCCATGGTCTTTGGTATGTGGAGTTTGAACAGAACCTTGTAGTACAACTTCTACATATTGTCTTGGCTTGGTAGATTGGTTCTTATAGCCTGTTGTAAGGTTGTTTGTTTGTGATGTGTTGTCTGTGCTATTGGCTACATATTGTTTGTGCTGTCTGTGTTGTCTGCACCTGTTTATGATGTGCTGTTTGTGCTGCTGGTTCTAGTTTGTTGTTTATGCTACTAGTGCTGGTGTTGATATGCTGCAATGGTGTTAGCTAGATATAGTTCTGCTACTCTGCTACTGTTCTGTTGTGCTGGCCTGTTGGCCTGGTGCTGTTTAGTGCTAGTGCAACACAGTTGGCCTATGGTTGCTGTTGTTACTGTTTTTTTTTTTCCCCCTTTTTTGCCACGCTGCTAGCTTCTATACATGCGTACCTTGCAAAGAGTTTAACTTCTGAACTTTGAAGTGACCCCAACAGATGAAGATTGTACAGTTGAGATGTTGTCGTGCATGGTGAGATTCAATTTTAATTTGAACATCACGGAGGAGGTTTTTTCTCCTTTCTTTCTTTCTTTCTTTTCCTTTGTCGTTTCTCTTTCCTTCTTTCTTTATGTTGGATAAATCGAATTTCAATACAGTGCTTTGTGAGTGTTAATTCTATTGAGCAAATCCAAAATATTTTTATGTTTCTTCGTCGATCTGAGGGCCTGTCCAAGCATGTGGATTCATTTATGCAGATGTTATCTTTAGTGCAATTGAAAAGGGTGACCACTTTATTTTAGCTCCATTGTTTTCAGATGAATTGCATGAGGCAACCTTCTTGAGGTATTAATTGTGTTTGTTTTTCCTCTAGAAACAGCTATGCTATTAGTTATATGCTTGTTTTGTTAATTTATGTGTCTTGTTTTAAGATCATCATTTGCCTTGTTGCTCATCTTGTTTGCTCCAAGAGCTTGGATTTGTTCAAAGGCAATGAGAATGATTTTGATGCTGTTCTAGCAAAAATGGAGAAGGGGATGAGCATGTCTGATATAATGAAGGAATTGGGCTATGGATGCACGGTTAATGTCTCACAGTGCATGGAGATGTTATCTCTTTTCTTATCACTGACTGAAATCACTGTCTCTACGATACTTGGCACAATTGCCCACACCCATACTGGGCTTGAGGACAATTAAAATGCATTTTCGAGTTACTGTTATGCTCTTGGTATTGACAGTTTGTCTAATCTGCCATTGATGAGCTCATGGTATATTGATGTCCTTATTGATTCAATCAAGCAGCTTGTGAGTATTTTATTATTTTTTTTCCACATCATTCTGTATCTTGCTTTATTTATTATTATCTTGCTGCCTATGCAATTTGGTAAAGTGCATTCCTTGTTTCTAATTTTAAATGTTGAAGTACAGGCTCCTGAAACCAACTAGATAAGTGTTGTTGAAAACCTAGATCATGAGGGGTTCTACTTCCCTAATGAGGCATCATTTTCCTTCTTTATGTCCATTTACAGACCTGCATGCCAGGTTTATTTCATGCATGAATTTAATTAATTACATGTATGTAAAATTTGTTTCCTATTGATCTAGCAATTAACATTAGATTTATGCATATATGCATGGTTGTAGATAAATAAACCTCAAAGCACTAGCAATAAGTTTTTTTTTCTCCTCTGATAATGATTTATGCTTTTTTTGTTTGGGTACAATGGAAAGGTTCATGCATTTATATCTAACTATATGTTCAACAATGATATCTATCGAAATTAGCAAACAACATAGCACACATAAATTAATTTATTATTTAGTGCTTCATGAAACTAACCTTTTGTTTGTGGCCATATTATGCTATACAAATCAGTTTTTAATGGGTAAATTACACTGACCTCCCCTGTGGTTTACCTTAATTATAGGGACCTCTCCTATAGTTTCAAAAATAACACTAACCTTCCTTACTTTTGAAAATAATATATAGATTCGCCCTTCCCATTAAAAGAGCCTTAACGACGTTAAGTTGATAGTAGAATTGACCATAATATTCATTTTTATATATATTGAGAGAGAATATATATATAAACACATACATATCTTATATATATATATTATTGTACCCATTCCATCTCTCTTCCCTCTCATTCTCTATGTGCTCTGCCACTCTCGCTCTCTGCTTCTCTGTCTCTCTCTATATCTCTCTGCATGCATAGGTTATCGATTTGGGTCGAGAGTGGTCCAACAAGTTGGAGGCGAGCGAGGCGAAGCTCACTGACTCGGCTGTTGTAACAAGCGACACCGTGCCAATCGCAGGATTTCTTTCTCTAAAAAAATCAAAAGAATGGATTTATGAACCAATCTTTGGCCCGTTCAAATGACAGTGTTTGGTGCATATGTTTGTCAATATATTTGAGACATGAACCTCTTGGAACTATGTGCATAAAAACTTGTAATGTGTTTGTCATATGTTCCATGCTGCTTTCTTGAAGGATACTTCTTTTACTTTAAATTTTTTTTTTTGAACCTTAGCAATAAAGAATATCTTTAAATCTATGTTATTTTAAGATTGTTTTCTGATTTGAATGAACCCCTACACTTTTATTTATTTATTTTTTCTCTTTTTCTCCAATTAGATAGAAGTAAACCCATACCTTTGAAAAAAAATAGAAATATGGGCCTCTGTGGTATCATCTTGGAAAGCAGATATATTTTTTTTTTCTTCTAGTAGTGGCATCTTGAAATGGGCCATTTCAAGAGTTTTAATAGATATTACTTTCAGAAAACACTCTGTCAAAAGCATTTTTTTAATATCATTTTCCTTTTAATACATATTAGCAATTTTGTAGATTGATGTGCTTATTACCTGTTTGGTGTTATGTCAAAAAATGTCTATAAATTTTTTCTCCCCTTTTCCCTCTCCCCTCCTACTCTTTAGAAACACGATACTGCTATGAAAAGAGCAGAGTTACAATTAGTGCGGTTGATGGTGCCCATTATGTGTTTGATGTTTTGTTTGATTGAAAAAGTTCATTGTTCTTCATGTAAGTTGGTTGCCGTTCATTTATTGATACTAAGCCAATTGTTACTACTTATGTGCTGACTTTTATTCTCTTTGTTTCTTGTCTTGAATATGTTTATTTGCTAACTTAGTTGTTGATTTTTATTTATTAACAACAATTGTTTTGAGGCTGGAAGAAAGAGGACCCCTCTTTGTTGAGATGCCTAGTCGGTGCAGCTTCTTTTGAGTGTTCATTCTGTTAATTGTCCTGGGATGTGCTCTGTACAACCACACAAATAAAAGCAGTGTACCACTTTGGGTATGTTTGAATCAACAATCTGAAGTGAAATTTGTGGAGGGAAAAAAAAAAAAAAAAAACCCATAAATGAAAAAGTGGATGAAATAAATAGTTTTTTATTTCCTTTTTTGGTCACAAATCTCTTTAATTCTCAATGCATGATTTTTAGCTCTTTATCTAAGGATAATAGTTCCACTAAAATTGTAGTGTCCACCAATTGTTTTTTATATTTCTAACTTCTTGTTTTGTGTAACTAACAGAAGTTTATTTGCGAATCTCATATAAATTTGTCCTCAAAGTGAGTTTTAGCACCATATAAATTTGTCATAAATCTATTTTATATTTGTGTTCTAATCTTGTACTTTGTAGATTGTCAAGCTGGTTTTTTAGTAGGGATGAAGGTTGAGTTTGGTGAGGTTCTACATATAGGTTCTGCTGTTTGTGTAATGAGGGATGTGAGCCATATTCCTTTTCTCTAACTGTTTGTTCTGCATATTGTAAAGCTGGCACTCTTGCTAGGGAAATCTTTGTTATGGGTTGAGTGTGAATTCGCTCATATATTGTTTGGAGTGTTGAGTGCTGTTGAGGGTTGAGTGATTAAGGACTATATGTGTGAGTTGTGTAGCCTTGTCTGTCTCAAATTTGTTGGTGCTATGGTCCTGTTTGTGATCTCTAGTTGGCTGAGTAATTGTATTTGTTTGCACCTATTTTGTTCAACCCCCCATGGTCTTTGGTATGTGGAGTTTGAACAGAACCTTGTAGTACAACTTCTACATATTGTCTTGGCTTGGTAGATTGGTTCTTATAGCCTGTTGTAAGGTTGTTTGTTTGTGATGTGTTGTCTGTGCTATTGGCTACATATTGTTTGTGCTGTCTGTGTTGTCTGCACCTGTTTATGATGTGCTGTTTGTGCTGCTGGTTCTAGTTTGTTGTTTATGCTACTAGTGCTGGTGTTGATATGCTGCAATGGTGTTAGCTAGATATAGTTCTGCTACTCTGCTACTGTTCTGTTGTGCTGGCCTGTTGGCCTGGTGCTGTTTAGTGCTAGTGCAACACAGTTGGCCTATGGTTGCTGTTGTTACTGTTTTTTTTTTTCCCCCTTTTTTGCCACGCTGCTAGCTTCTATACATGCGTACCTTGCAAAGAGTTTAACTTCCGAACTTTGAAGTGACCCCAACAGATGAAGATTGTACAGTTGAGATGTTGTCGTGCATGGTGAGATTCAATTTTGATTTGAACATCAGGGAGGAGGTTTTTTCTCCTTTCTTTCTTTCTTTTCCTTTGTCGTTTCTCTTTCTTTCTCTTTCTTTCTTTCTTTATGTTGGATAAATCGAATTTCAATACTGTGCTTTGTGAGTGTTAATTCTACTGAGCAAATCCAAAATATTTTTATGTTTCTTCATTGATCTGAGGGCCTGTCCAAGCATGTGGATTCATTTATGCAGATGTTATCTTTAGTGCAATTGAAAAGGGTGACCACTTTATTTTAGCTCCATTGTTTTCAGATGAATTGCATGAGGCAACCTTCTTGAGGTATTAATTGTGTTTGTTTTTCCTCTAGAAACAGCTATGCTATTAGTTATATGCTTGTTTTGTTAATTTATGTGTCTTGTTTTAAGATCATCATTTGCCTTGTTGCTCATCTTGTTTGCTCCAAGAGCTTGGATTTGTTCAAAGGCAATGAGAATGATTTTGATGCTGTTCTAGCAAAAATGGAGAAGGGGATGAGCATGTTTGATGTAATGAAGGAATTGGGCTATGCATGCACGGTTAATGTCTCACAGTGCATGGAGATGTTATCTCTTTTCTTATCACTGACTGAAATCACTGTCTCTACGATACTTGGCACAATTGCCCACACCCATGCTGGGCTTGAGGATAATCAGAATGCATTTTCGCCTTGCTGTTATGCTTTTGGTATTGACAGTTTGTCTGATATGCCATTGATGAGCTCGTGGTATATTGATGTCCTTATTGATTCAATCAAGCAGCTTGTGAGTATTTTTTTTTTTCCACATCATTCTGTATCTTGCTTTATTTATTTTTATCTTGCTGCCTATGCAATTTGGTAAAGTGCATTCCTTGTTTCTAATTTTAAATGTTGAAGTACAGGCTCCTGAAACCAACTAGATAAGTGTTGTTGAAACCCTAGATCATGAGGGGTTCTACTTCCCTAATGAGGCATCATTTTCCTTCTTTATGTCCATTTACAGACCTGCATGCCAGGTTTATTTCATGCATGAATTTAATTAATTACATGTATGTAAAATTTGTTTCCTATTGATCCAGCAATTAACATTAGATTTATGCATATATGCATGGTTGTAGATAAATAAACCTCAAAGCTCTAGCAATAAGTTTTTTTTTTCTCCTCTGATAATGATTTATGCTTTTTTTGTTTGGGTACAATGGAAAGGTTCATGCATTTATACCTAACTATATGTTCAACAATGATATCTATTGAAATTAGCAAACAACATAGCACACATAAATTAATTTATTATTTAGTGCTTCATGAAACTAACCTTTTGTTTGTGGCCATATTATGCTATACAAATCAGTTTTTAATGGGTAAATTACACTGACCTCCCTTGAGGTTTACCTTAATTATAGGGACCTCCCCTGTAGTTTCAAAAATAACACTAACCTTCCTTTTGAAAATAATATACAGATTCGCCCTTCCCATTAAAAGAGCCTTAACGACGTTAAGTTGATAGTAGAATTGACCATAATATTCATTTTTATATATATATAAACACATACATATCTTATATATATATTATTGTACCTATTCCATCTCTCTTCCCTCTCATTCTCTATGTGCTCTACCTCTCTCTCTCTGCTTCTCTGTCTCTCTCGATATCTCTCTGCATGCACAGGTTATCGATTTGGGTTGAGAGTGGTCTAACAAGTTGGAGGCGAGCGAGGCGAAGCCCACTGACTCGGCTGTTGTAACAAGCGACACCGCGCCAATCGCAGGGATCTGAGGGCGTGGAGGAGTCCTAGCTGTTGAGGGAGTCGAGAGGGTT